TCTAGTGCGCTTCCCGCTTATTACTCACTGTCGTCTAGTGTAGGTGTGCCTAGCTTAGCCTCCCCTGCTGCGTCAGGCATAGGATCTCCTGCTTTGTTTAGCCTTGGTGCTTCCGCCGTCGCCACGTCGCCGGACACCATTGCTTCGCTTTCCTTCATCTTGGACACTGGCGCTTCCCGGTGCTTCTTCCGCGACTCTACTACACTGACGCCGCTTCCTGTTCCTGCTGCCGTTTCTCTTGCTGACCCCACCGGCGGTCCGGTAGTCGCCCGCAGTTCCACCACCCTTCCCTGTCCGGCGGTTCCTTCGGGCTCTCTTACAGGTCTGCATATCCCCTCGTTCTCCAGGAACCTAGTTGGTGTCGGCTGCCTCCAGGACCTTGGCGTCACCACTACGTTCCCTGGTCACGAGCGGTATGATGTCTGTACCGAGGCCGCCACTGGTGTCCCCCTGTCCACGTTCCCCCGGGACCCGGTGTCCGGCCTGTTCACTCTGGACACCGTGACCCCCCCGGCTGGGGCGCCCCCTCAGGTGGTTGCGTCTACCCAGGTTGCTGCTGCCTGCTCCTGTCGGTCTCACTCACCCGACTCTCCTTTGGCACCACAGCCTAGGTCACCCTGCGCTCCCGCGTCTGCGTCACATGTCCCAGCACGGTCTCGTCCTTGATCTCCCTGGTTCTCTCCCCGCTTTTCCCTCCTCCCCAGCCCCACCTTGCACGCCTTGCGTCGAGGGTCGGCTTTGCCATGCCCCTCACTCCTCCTCGTTTCCCCCTACCGCCGCGCCGCTGCAGACCCTGCACATGGACGTCTGGGGCCCCTGCCCTCGTCCATGGGCCGCGTCGAGAGCGCTACTTCCTTGTGCTTGTCGACGACTTCACTCGCTACACCTCGGTCTTTCCCCTGGAGTGGAAGGCCGACGTGCCTGACGCTCTCATCCCCTGGCTTGTCTCTGCCCGTGTCCACCGAGGTCTCCCTGTCTTGCGCCTTCACTCCGACCGTGGTGGCGAGTTTGCCTCAGGTGTCCTTGGTCGCTTTTGTCGTGCGGACGGCATCACCCAGACGTTCACCCTACCGGACTCCTCACAGCAGAATGGGGTCGCTGAGCGACGCATCGGTTTGGTCATGGAGGTGGCTCGCACCTCCATGATCCATGCCGGTGCACCCCATTTTCTGTGGCCGTTCGATGTGCGCTACGCTTCTCACCAGCTTAACCTGTGGCCGCACCCCCAGCAGCCGCAGGTTTCGCCGACCCGTCTTTGGACTGGGTCTCCTGGTGACGTGTCTGCGTTCCATGTCTGGGGCTGCCTTGCTCACGTCCGTGCCTCCGGCACGGACAAGCTCCCTGCTCGCACCCTTCCCTGCGTCTTCTTCGGTTTTCCCCTTGACGCGTCCAACTAGCACTTCTACCACCCGCCGTCTCACCGCTTCTTTCACTCTCGCGACGTCACCTTTGATGAGTCCGTCTCCTTCTACCGTCGCTTCCCCCACCGCGGTCCCCCGGTTACCCCCCCCCTGTTCCTGGTCACTCCTTCCCCGGTAGTCCCTGCCCCCCCCCCTCCTCCTCCCCATCCTGTCCCCTCTGGTGTGTCCCACGTCACCCCTCTTCCGTCGGTGGTCCCGGTTGAGGAGTCTTCTGACTCTGGTGGTCCTGCGGCGCAGTCCTCGCCGGTTGCCCCTCCCCAGGCGTCCCCTCCTCCACCGCCTCTGCCGCCGCTGTCGCCCCTGTTGTCGCAGCCATTGTCACTTCCGCCGCCGCCGCCGCAGCCGTCGTTGTCGCTGCCGCCGCCGTCGCAGCACCCGTTCGTTGACTCTGGGGGTGCTGGCGTTGGAGTGCGTGCTAGTCCCGGTAGCTCTGGGGGTGGTACCGGTCCTCGAGGGATTTCGGGCCCTGGAGGTGTTCCCTCTGGGGGTGCTGGCGTGGAGTGTGCCGGTGGTAGCCGAGGAGCAGCTTGCGGTCCCGGTGTCGGAGTTGTGCCGCCGCCGCAGCAGTCCCCGCCGGTGTGAGCCCTTCGCCTGCTCGGCCTTCCGTCCCCTAACCCTGCGTCTGTTCCTCTCTGGCCGTCTCCTCCTCTTCCCGTCTACGGCCCTGTGTTCCCTCCGCCGGAAGCGTCCCCGGCTCGTCTTCCCCCTCGTTCCCCCCCTGTGTCCCCTCCTCTGTCTCCTGACCCGACTCCTCCGTCTCACGTCTGGTCTCGCCGTCCCTCCCGTGCTTGTCCTGTCTCCCCTGTCTTGCACTCCCACCCTATGTTGCTTCGTTCCCACGCGTCTCGTCCTCCCCTTCTCTTGTCGCCTCCTCCATCCTACCTTGTTGTTGCGCCCCCCCCCTCTGTCTGACTACCTTCGTGCCGCTCGTCCTCTTGTTCCTCGGGTCCTTGCCTCTCTCGTTACCGACACGTCTATTCCGGTCTCGTGTCTTGACGCTCTTGTAGCTGCGGTCGCTGACTTCGCCTCTACCCGCCGCCTTGACTACGCCACCGCTCTGGTCTCTGACCCTGCCTGTCCTCCGTCTGTCGGGGGTGCTCCTGCCCTCGGCAGTGACGTCCTGGAGGACCGCCAGTTCGAGCTTGCTTTCCTGTCCGAGGCTGCTCCCCATCTCTGTTCCATGCTGCTAGTCCCTGAGGGTGACCCAGACGCTTTCGACATCCCGACCCCTCGCACTTACGCTGAGGCGACCTCGGGACCTTGGGCCTCGCAGTGGATAGCTGCCATGGAGCAGGAGATGGCATCTTGGAGATCCACCGGCACCTTCGTCGACGCAGTTCCCCCGCCTGGGGTGAACGTAGTCGATGGCCGCTGGCTCTTCAAGGTGAAGCGCCCTCCTGGAGAGCCGCCTGTGTTCAAGGCGCGCTACGTGGCTAGAGGCTTCAGTCAGCGTGAGGGGGTGGACTTCTTCCAGACCTTCGCTCCGACCCCGAAGATGACTACTCTTCGGGTTCTGTTACACCTAGCTGCTCAGCGTGACTACGAGCTTCACTCCCTCGACTTCTCCACTGCCTTCCTTCAGGTCAGCCTACACGAGCAGGTCTACTTGCGTCGCCCTCAGGGCTTTACTGGCACCTTCCCTCCTAGGACCCAGTGGCTCCTGCGGCGCCCCGTCTACGGCCTGCGCCAGGCTCCCTGTGAGTGGCACGACACGCTGCGTGCTACCCTTGCTGACCTGCAGTTCTTTCCGTCTTCCGCAGACCCCTCACTCTTCGTTCGTGCTGGCCAGACTCCGTTCTACATCCTTGTTTACGTCGACGACCTGGTCTTTGCCACAGCAGACAGGGACGCACTGGCCTCAGTGAAGGCAGAGCTGCTGAAGAGACACATGTCCACTGACCTTGGAGAACTGTGCCGTTACCTTCGCTTGCAGATCTCCAAGGACAGAGCAGCGCGCACTATCACCCTGACTCAGTCACACTTGGTGCGCTAGGTCCTTCAGAGGTTCGGCCTTCAGTTCTCCTCTGCACAGCCCACCCCTCTGCCTGTAGACCACAGACTCTCTACTCCAGTTTCTAAGGAGTCGGTAGAGCCCAGCGGCCCCTACGCAGAGCTGGTGGGTTGCCTTATGTACCTGATGACTTGCACTCGCCCAGATTTCGCATACCCTCTCAGCATCCTGGCTCGCTTTGTGGCCACAGGCAGATACCGACCGCAGCACTGGTCTGCCGCTAAGAGGGTTTTGCGTCATCTTGCTAGTACATCAGGCATGGGGTTAGTGCTAGGAGGACGTGGGCCAGTTGTCCTTACTGGACACACAGACGCTTCTTGGGCAGACGACGCCGAGACACTCAGGTCTACCCAGGGCTACTGCTTCTGCCTTGGTTCAGGTGCCGTCTCGTGAAGAGCTACCCGCTCCTCGTCTGCTGCCCAGTCTAGCTGTGAGGCCGAGATCTACGCTGGTGCCATGGCGCCACAGGAGCTCCGCTGGCTACCTTCTTGCTCACGGACTTAGGTGAGCGGCCTAGCTCTGCCCCGGTCCTGTTCGCTGACAACAGGGCCATGATCCTCCTGTGTCAGGAGCCTCGACTCGAGGGCAGAGCGAAGCATATTCAGCTGCGGTACTTCCTCCTGCACGAGCTACAGCATCGACGCCAGGCTCGCGTAGTACACTTGGCCTCAGGTGCCAACACAGCTGATATCTTTACGAAGGCGCTTGCGCCTAAAGATCATCAGCGGCACTGTGTGCAGCTTGGTCTAGTTCCTGTAGCCTCTCACTTGCTAGGGCCTTGACTTTGTACTGTCTTTATATGTGTACTCAGACTGGACTTGTGTCCTCTCCCAGTGGCTGGACTAGTAGTGCCGCCCTGGTCTTGTTCTTGCCTTGTCTGTACTCCTTCTGACTGGTCTTTTAGACCCTTGTCTCAGAGGCTGGACTAGTAGTGCCGCCCTGAGCTGCTTGTTCAGGACCTGCCCCTATGCAGTCTAGGGGGTGTGTCAAACATGTGTATCTCCTATGTTTGCATAGACTGTATAGGGCCACCTCTTAGAGGGTATAAAACTTGGTATATTCACATGTACTCTCTCTCTACTCTATTATTCTGTTCTCACTTTAACACAAGAAACTTCGAATCCCCTAGAAAATTGTCGCACACTCCCCTTCCGGCTCCACTCCGCAATGCGCAGACGAACGCCCCCCCGGTTCATAGTAATCCCCTCTTTGCTGTGAGAGGAAAAGGTTCAGGAAAAGGATCAAAGGTACTCGTGAGGTCGTCGAGAGGCTTGGAGAACCCTTGATGGTTCGGTCCAAAGGTCTTGAATAGTGTCGAATGTTCGGATCGAAAGGTCCGGGACTGAGCCGAGGGTTCAGGGGTGTTCGAGTGTGCACGATAAGCCGTACAAGTCGGCAAGGAATTAAAATTCATACACCAATCTACTTTGAACACTCCCTTTTCTCTCTATACAGCCTTTGATATTTTCTACAGAACTATATCGCATTACAGTTTGACGGTGCATTCCAACACCATCTTTCTTGGGACGAGTGTCTTGGGAATCTGCACTGTCACCCGTCCCCACATTCGATCATCGCTGAACCAGAACCCCCTGCCCCTCACACTAAACACTCGAGGCAAGTTTGCGTCTTCTGGGCTTCGGCTGCATGGTCAGCAAGCAGCTCGTTGGCGGGAGAGCGCGCAGAGCTGCGGAGGTGCGCTTTGAGGGACGTGGCGTCATTAATTGCCTTGCATAGCGCGCCAACGCTCGTCCCGCTGCGGCAACGATGGCGTCTCGAGGCGTGGCTGTGCACCCGCAGCGAGTGTCGGACATCCCATGGCACGACAGGCTGATCGGCGGGAATGCACGCAGCACGGGCTCCACGGAATGGCGGAAAATAGTGCGGCACGCTCACGCGTGCGTCGTGGCGTCTGGGTATCGCATCGTGCACCCTTAGAGCCCGTGTTGTTTAGATCCGCCTTTTTGGCGCGAAGCAGCGAGTTTAGGAGAGGTTGCGGCAGGGAGGTGAGTGGGCGCGGGCGCGTGGCGGACGCTTCCGCCTCGCCTCGAATCTCCGCCGCTGCGGAATCTACAGGTGCGCCCGGCGCTGGTAGCCGCCCCGCGCCATCCAAGCCCAGGTCTTCCCGACCCTCAGCCGCAGGCTCGAGACGCGACCGACCCTCGGGGGGAGGCGGGGGGGGCGGAGGGGGAGGCGCACGGAGGGGCGGGGCGGGGGTGCGGCGGGCGCGCGACGACAGCGTGGCGCGCAAGCTGGAGCGATTCCACGACGGGCCCGAGGGGCCGCCGCTGCGCGTGCTGCCGATCGGCGGGGTGGGCGAGATCGGCATGAACTGCATGCTGGTGGGCCACCGCGACCGCTACGTCATGATCGACGCCGGCCTCATGTTCCCCGAGTGAGTGCCAACCACGGGGCGGGACGAGCGGTCGAGGTTCGGCGTTTAGGGGAGGCTTAGCGGCTGACCACCAGCATGGGATTGGGTGGCAGGGGACTGATCTCGCGACGCTTTCACGGGGGGCAATGCGGGATTGGGGAGAAGAGAGTGGTGAGGAGTGGTGAGGGATGGGAGCCATGGCAGCCGCTTGCCTTCCAAGGGTGGCCGCCTAATGGCTGGTCTGAAGGTTGCTCCTCGTGCCACTCCCTTCCATTCTCGCTGGCCCTTGCTGTCACCTTGTGCTGGGCGCCCGTGGCAGAAACAATGCAGCAGGCGGTGCTTCTTGGCTTGCATATTCACCGCACCCTCCATGACTGCCCTCACTGCTGCCTCATGCGTGCTGCCCATGCGTGCTGCCCATGCGTGCTGCCTCATGCGTGCTGCCCATGCGTGCTGCCCATGCGTGCTGCCCATGCGTGCTGCCCATGCGTGCTGCCCAATGCGTGCTGCCCAATGCGTGCTGCCCAATGCGTGCTGCCCAATGCGTGCTGCCCAATGCGTGCTGCCCATGCGTGCTGCCCATGCGTGCTGCCCAATGCGTGCTGCCCAATGTGTGCTGCCCATGCGTGCTGCCCATGCGTGCTGCCCATGCGTGCTGCCCCCATGCGTGCTGCCCATGCGTGCTGCCCATGCGTGCTGCCTCATGCGTGCTTCCCATGCGTGCTGCCCATGCGTGCTGCCCATGCGTGCTTCCCATGCGTGCTGCCCAATGCGTGCTGCCCAATGCGTGATGCCCAATGCGTGCTGCCCAATGCGTGCTGCCCAATGCGTGCTGCCCAATACGTGCTGCCCAATCCGTGCTGCCCATGCGTGCTGCCCATGCGTGCTGCCCATGCGTGCTGCCCATGCGTGCTGCCCAATGCGTGCTGCCCGTGCGTGCTGCCCATGCGTGCTGCCCAATGCGTGCTGCCCAATGCGTGCTGCCCAATGCGTGATGCCCAATGCGTGCTGCCCAATGCGTGCTGCCCAATGCGTGCTGCCCAATGCGTGCTGCCCATGCGTGCTGCCCAATGCGTGCTGCCCATGCGTGCTGCCCATGCGTGCTGCCCAATGCGTGCTGCCCAATGCGTGCTGCCCAATGCGGGCTGCCCATGCGTGCTGCCCATGCGTGCGTGCCACATCCATGGAGGCGCCACAGCAGCAGCATCCTCCAGTCATGCTTTTCCTCCCCCCCGACCTTCTCTTCCTACGCCTTTCCCCCTTCTCCCCCCTCCTCACCCCCGTTTCCCCCTTCCCTGCCCGCCTCTTCCCCACCCAGCTACGACGAGGTGGGCATGCAGCGCGTGCTGCCGGACACGGCGTTCATCCACCGCTGGCGCCACAAGATTGAGGCGCTCATCATCACGCACGGCCACGAGGACCACATCGGCGCGCTGCCCTGGGTGAGCGGGGGAGAGGCACGCACGCGGGTCCAATAACATGCTTCCACGTGGCATTTTGTGTTGAGAGGGCATGGATTGGGGCTTCTCTGTTGTGGACTGGCTGCTCCGCGCACATCCATTCATGCTTTCTCATCCCATCTTGGCACTCCCTGCCTCTCACCCCCCTCCTCTCCCTGCCTCTCGCCCCCCTCTTCTCCCTGCCTCTCGCCCCCCTCCTCTCCCTGCCTCTCGCCCCCCGTGTGCTGCCAGGTGCTGCCAGCGCTGGACCCCTCCACGCCTGTCTTCGCCACGGGCTTCACCATGCAGGCAATGCGTCTCATATCCCCTCCCCTCCCCCCCTCTCTCACCTTCCCCGCCTGCCCCCTCTCCCGTCGTCCCCTCTGTTGACCTCTCCACTTGTACCATCAAACCCTTTCTCCTTCCCTCCAACTCCCCCCCGGCCCCCCGTCTCCCTTTCCACCCCCCTCCCAGTTTGATCTTGTCTCGTTTCAATCTTGCTGCTGTCGCTTACTTTCACCCTTTCTCCCCTGATCCCACGTCCCAACTCCCTAATATGCTCCTATGCTCTGCTCGATCTCCTGCCATTCCTCCTCCCCATCCTCTTCCTCTCCCCTTTCCCCCTTCCCTCCCTTTCCCCTTTCCCCCTCCCTCTCCCACTCCCCCTGCCTGCGCCTGCAGCTGGTGAAGCGGCGCCTCAAGGAGCACAACCTGCCGTTTGAGAAGCGGTGCAAAGCAGTGCAGATGCGCACGCCGTTCACGGCGGGGCCGTTCCAGGTGGAGCCGGTGCGCGTGACGCACTCCATCCCCGACTGCTGCGGGCTCGTGCTGCGCTGCGACGACGGCACCATCTTCCACACCGGCGACTGGAAGGCAAGCCGTGCCAACTGGGTGCCTGGGGCATGGGGCATGGCATGGGGCATGGGGCATGGCATGGGGCATGGCATGGGGCATGGCATGGAGCATGGGGCATGCATGGCATGGGGCATGGGGCATGGGGCATGGGGCATGGGGCATGGGGCATGGGGCATGGGGCATGGGGCATGGGGCATGGGGCATGGGCGCCGAGGTCTGAACTCTGTTTACTGGCCTTTCCAGATCAAGTGTCGCACATTGGACTCTTGGCATTGAGCATTGCGCATTAAGCACGGCTGTCTGTACCGCAGTGATTCCTGTGATTTGTCACCCTGCTCGTGTTCTCTCTCTCTCTCTCCTCCTTTCTAGCGTGCAATCCCAGTTGTTGCGGTGCGTGCCCGTGCGCCATCAGATTGATGAGGACCCGTTGGACGGCCGCAAGTTCGACCGCGAGTTCCTCGAGGGGCTGTCCAAGGAGGGGGTGACGCTGGTGAGAGGGAGGGAGGGGGTGACGCTGGAGAGAGGGTCACTTTCCCCTTCACCATGTCAACCGGTCTCCTTTTCTCCACCATATGTGCATCGTCCTCCCCCTTCCTCGCGCCGTCCTCCCACGCCTGTCTGTGTGCATCGTCCTCATCCCTCCCCCCTCTCCTCTGCCCCCCCCCCCCAGATGATGAGTGACAGCACCAACAGCCTGGCCCCCGGGCGCACGACGTCGGAGAGCAGTGTGGCGGCGGCGCTGATGGACGCCGTGCTGGCGGCCAAGGGGCGCGTCATCACCACGCAGTTCGCCTCCAACGTGCACCGCCTCGGCGCTATTAAGGCCGCTGCTGACGCTGCTGGCAGGCGCCTGGTGGGCTGGGAGGAAAGGGGGGGGGGGGAGGGTGGGGGGATGGCATGTGATGGGCTGAGGGCGCCCGCTGTCCCCAACGTGGACCGCTTGGGGGCTGTCAAGGCCCATGCTGACGCCGCCGACAGGCCAGGCGCCTGGTGGGCTTTTGGCGGGGAGATGTATGACACGGTTGATGATGGTTGGGTGTGGCATGGGAGGGGGGAGGGTACGTTTCTTGTTTGTATGTCTTGTTATACTCCAACCCTTGCACCAGTCCCCACACCTCCCCCCCCGCCCTTGTGTTTGTCCCCCCAGGTGTTCCTGGGCATGTCGCTGCGCACCTACCTCGATGCCGCCTTCCGCGACGGCCAGGCGCCCTTCGACCCCTCCGTGCTCGTATGCCCCGCCACGCATCCTGCACCCCACCATCCCCGCACCCATTCTTGCACCCCACCACCTTTGCACCCCACCACCTTTGCACCCCACCACCTTTGCACCCCACCACCTTTGCATCCCACCACCTTTGCACCCCACCACCTTTGCACCCCACCACCTTTGCACCCCACCACCTTTGCACCCCACCACCTTTGCACCCCACCACCTTTGCACCCCACCACCTTTGCATCCCACCACCTTTGCACCCCACCACCTTTGCACCCCACCACCTTTGCACCCCACCACCTTTGCACCCCACCACCTTTGCACCCCACCACCTTTGCACCCCACCACCTTTGCACCCCACCACCTTTGCACCCCACCACCTTTGCACCCCACCACCTTTGCACCCCACCATCGCTGCACCCCACCACCTTTGCGCCCCACCACCTTTGCACCCCACCACCTTTGCACCCCACCACCTTTGCACCCCACCATCGCTGCACCCCTCCTTATTCACACGCTGTGCATCCGTGTGCGTTCGTATGCTTCTGTGTGTGCGTGCCTTGCGTGTGTGTGTGTGCGCGCATGCATTGCTTGTGCCTGTGTGTGTGTGTGCCTTGGATGTGTGTGTGTGTGTGTGCGTGCATTGCTTGTGTGTGTGTGTGTGTGTGTGTGTGTGTGTGTGTGTGTGTGTGTGTGCGTGCGTGCATTGCTTGTTTGTGTGTGCACGTGCCTCTCAGCTCAAGGCGGAGGACATGAGTGCCTTCTCCCCGCGCGACCTGCTTATTGTCACCACTGGCTCTCAGGTGGGTGCCGGCTCGTTCAGGCTCTCGTGGCTGGCTATTCTGGGTGCGGAGGGTGCACCATGCGTGCATGAGTGCGTGGATGTGTGGATTGCCGTGGTCCATTTCGTCTCATCCCTGCTGCCCCTTCATTCTTCATTCCACCTGTCTGCCCATGTGTGTGGCGACAGGGTGAGCCACGCGCCGCCCTGAACCTGGCGTCGTACGGCACGAGCCGCATGCTGCAGCTCAACTCCGACGACACCGTGCTCTATTCCGCCAAGGTGTGCTCTACTCTGCCAAGGTGTGCTCTACTCCGCCAAGTTGTGCTCTACTCCGCCAAGGTGTGCTCTACTCCGCCGTGGTGTGCTCTACTCCGCCAAGGTGTGCTCTGCTCCACCAAGGTGTGCTCTGCTCCGCCAAGGTGTGCTCTACTCCGCCAAGGTGTGCTCTGCTCCGCCAAGGTGTGCTCTACTCCGCCAAGGTGTGCTCTACTCCGCCAAGGTGTGCTCTACTCCGCCAAGGTGTGCTCTACTCCGCCAAGGTGTGCTCTACTCCGCCAAGGTGTGCTCTACTCCGCCAAGGTGTGCTCTACTCCGCCAAGGTGTGCTCTGCTCCGCCAAGGTGTGCTCTACTCCGCCAAGGTGTGCTCTACTCCGCCAAGGTGTGCTCTGCTCCGCCAAGGTGTGCTCTACTCCGCCAAGGTGTGCTCTACTCCGCCAAGGGTGTTGCTCTCTACTCCGCCAAGGTGTGCTCTACTCCGCCAAGGTGTGCTCCAAGGTGTGCTCTACTCCGCCAAGGTGTGCTCTACTCCGCCAAGGTGTGCTCTGCTCCGCCAAGGTGTGCTCTACTCCGCCAAGGTGTGCTCTGCTCCGCCAAGGTGTGCTCTGCTCCGCCAAGGTGTGCTCTACTCCGCCAAGGTGTGCTCTACTCCGCCAAGGTGTGCTCTACTCCGCCAAGGTGTGCTCTACTCCGCCAAGGTGTGCTCTACTCCGCCAAGGTGTGCTCTACTCCGCCAAGGTGTGCTCTACTCCGCCAAGGTGTGCTCTACTCCGCCAAGGTGTGCTCTACTCCGCCAAGGTGTGCTCTACTCCGCCAAGGTGTGCTCTACTCCGCCAAGGTGTGCTCTACTCCGCCAAGGTGTGCTCTACTCCGCCAAGGTGTGCTCTACTCCGCCAAGGTGTGCTCTACTCCGCCAAGGTGTGCTCTACTCCGCCAAGGTGTGCTCTACTCCGCCAAGGTGTGCTCTACTCCGCCAAGGTGTGCTCTACTCCGCCAAGGTGTGCTCTACTCCGCCAAGGTGTGCTCTACTCCGCCAAGGTGTGCTCTACTCCGCCAAGGTGTGCTCTACTCCGCCAAGGTGTGCTCTACTCCGCCAAGGTGTGCTCTGCTCCGCCAAGGTGTTGCTTCTACTCCGCCAAGGTGTGCTCTGCTCCGCCAAGGTGTGCTCTACTCCGCCAAGGTGTGCTCTACTCCGCCAAGGTGTGCTCTACTCCGCCAAGGTGTGCTCTACTCCGCCCAAGGTGTGCTCTACTCGCCAAGGTGTGCTCTACTCCGCCAAGGTGTGCTCTACTCCGCCAAGGTGTGCTCTGCTCCGCCAAGGTGTGCTCTACTCCGCCAAGGTGTGCTCTACTCCGCCAAGGTGTGCTCTGCTCCGCCAAGGTGTGCTCTGCTCCGCCAAGGTGTGCTCTGCTCCGCCAAAGGTGTGCTCTGCTCCGCCAAGGTGTGCTCTACTCCGCCAAGGTGTGCTCTACTCCGCCAAGGTTGTGCTCTACTCCGCCAAGGTGTGCTCTACTCCGCCAAGGTGTGCTCTACTCCGCCAAGGTGTGCTCTACTCCGCCAAGGTGTGCTCTACTCCGCCAAGGTGTGCTCTACTCCGCCAAGGTGTGCTCTCCTCCGCCAAGGTGTGCTCTTCTCCGCCAAGGTGTGCTCTACTCCGCCAAGGTGTGCTCTACTCCGCCAAGGTGTGCTCTACTCCGCCAAGGTGTGCTCTACTCCGCCAAGGTGTGCTCTACTCCGCCATGGTGTGCTCTACTCCGCCAAGGTGTGCTCTACTCCGCCAAGGTGTGCTCTTACTCCGCCAAGGTGTGCTCTACTCCGCCAAGGTGTGCTCTACTCCGCCAAGGTGTGCTCTACTCCGCCAAGGTGTGCTCTACTCCGCCAAGGTGTGCTCTACTCCGCCAAGGTGTGCTCTACTCCGCCAAGGTGTGCTCTACTCCGCCAAGGTGTGCTCTACTCCGCCAAGGTGTGCTCTCCCGCCAAGGTGTGCTCTCTCCGCCAAGTGTGCTCTCTCCGCCAAGGTGTGCTCTACTCCGCCAAGGTGTGCTCTACTCCGCCAAGGTGTGCTCTACTCCGGCAAGGTGTGCTCTACTCCGCCAAGGTGTGCTCTACTCCGCCAAGGTGTGCTCTACTCCGCCAAGGTGTGCTCTGCTCCGCCAAGGTGTGCTCTACTCCGCCAAGGTGTGCTCTGCTCCGCCAAGGTGTGCTCTGCTCCGCCAAGGTGTGCTCTGCTCCGCCAAGGTGTGCTCTGCTCCGCCAAGGTGTGCTCTACTCCGCCAAGGTGTGCTCTACTCCGCCAAGGTGTGCTCTACTCCGCCAAGGTGTGCTCTACTCCGCCAAGGTGTGCTCTACTCCGCCAAGGTGTGCTCTACTCCGCCAAGGTGTGCTCTACTCCGCCAAGGTCATGCGCATGCCATCGCCTTTGTCCCCCTCCCGTATCATTGTGTGCTGGTATGACTGCATGGGGCATGCTCTAGTTGCGCGTCATCCTGGCCACCATCGCGACCACCCTCAGGCTGCACAAACGCGCGCTCATGCCATCACCTGCGCTCTCCCTCTTATGCCATCACACTTGCCGCCGTCCTGCACTCTCCCCCCCCCCCCCCCCTTCCCCCCCCATCCCCCCCAGATGATCCCGGGCAACGAGACGCGCGTGGTGAAGATGATGAACCGCATCGCGCTGCAGGGCCCGCGCATCCTGCAGGGCCGCGAGCACGGGCTGCACACGTCGGGCCACGCGTACCGCGAGGAGCAGCAGGAGGCGATCCGGCTGGTGCAGCCGCAGCACTTCCTGCCGGTGCACGGCGAGTACGCCTTCCTGAAGGAGCACGAGCTGCTCGCGCAGCGCCAGGGCATCCGCCACACCACCGTATGACCTGTGTTACAACCACGTGGGGCTGGGTGAGGGGGTGGGTGAAGAGTCACTGTGGTGCTAGATATTGTACATGGTAGGTAGTGCGGATGCACATCTACTAGGGTAAGCAAGTTGCATATTATAGAGAAGGGATGGTGGCATGTGCATGGTGGCATGTGTATGGTGGCATGTGTATGGTGGCATGTGTATGGTGGCATGTGTATGGTGGCATGTCTCGGGGATGGTGGCATGTGGCTGGGAGGGTGGCATGTGGGAAGGGGTAGCATGCAGCTGATGGGGTAGGCGTTGGACGGCCCAGCACATTGGAGGCAAGGGCGGCCGCACTAAGCTGGGCTCATGGCGCCCTCATTCAGATCCAGCAGCCTCGCCTCACCGTCTGCTTCTCACGCGCCCACCCCCTTTCCCCCCTCCCTCCCTCTCTTCCCCCCCTCTCCCACCAGGTGATCAGCAACGGCGAGATGGTGGGCGTGGCACCGCTGCGCAACTCCAAGGTGGTGTCCAACGGCTTCTACCACCAGCCGCGCGTGCACCTCGAGGTGAGTGCAGCGCACCCTCCGTATGTGCAGCAGCGAGAGCAAATGGTGCTGACATGGCATGCCAGCATGGGAGCCCTGATTCAAATGGGTACCTTTGGGAGGGTACCGCTTCCCAGTCGTTGTGCATCGACGGTGGCCTGTTCATTTGGAATCTAATGCATCATCATCCTCAGTTCCCTGGCACAGATGCCGGCTGCCATGAGGTGCCGGCTGCCATGAGGTGCGGGCTACCATGAGGTGCAAGGTGGCACGTGACCAATGCTTCTTGCGTCCTGGGACTCTCTGCTACTTGTCTCTCTTTCTCCACTCTCCGTACTCCACACTTCATGCGTTGTGTGCCCATGCACATGCGTTGTGTGCCTATGCACATGCGTTGTGTGCCCATGCACATGCGTTGTGTCCCCATGCACATGCGTTGTGTGCCCATGCACATGCGTTGTGTGCCCATGCACATGCGTTGTGTGCCCATGCACATGCGTTGTGTGCTCATGCACATGCGTTGTGTGCCCATGCACATGCGTTGTGTGCCCATGCACATGCGTTGTGTGCCCATGCACATGCGTTGTGTGCCCATGCACATGCGTTGTGTGCCCATGCACATGCGTTGTGTGCCCATGCACATGCGTTGTGTGCCCATGCACATGCGTTGTGTGCCCATGCACATGCGTTGTGCGCCCATGCACATGCGTTGTGTGCCCATGCACATGCGTTGTGCGCCCATGCACATACGTTGTGTGCTCATGCACATGCGTTGTGCGCCCATTCACATGCGTTGTGTGCCCATGCACATGCGTTGTGTGCCCATGCACATGCGTTTTGTGCCCATGCACATGCGTTGTGTGCCCATGCACATGCGTTGTGTGCCCATGCACATGCGTTGTGTGCCCATGCACATGCGTTGTGTGCCCATGCACATGCGTTGTGTGCCCATGCACATGCGTTGTGTGCCCATGCACATGCGTTGTGTGCCCATGCACATGCGTTGTGTGCCCATGCACATGCGTTGTGTGCCCATGCACATGCGTTGTGTGCCCATGCACATGCGTTGTGTGCCCATGCACATGCGGTTGTGTGGCCCATGCACATGCGTTGTGTGCCCATGCACATGCGTTGTGTGCCCATGCACATGCGTTGTGCCCATGCACATGCGTTGTGTGCCCATGCACATGCGTTGTGCGCCCATGCACATGCGTTGTGTGCTCATGCACATGCGTTGTGCGCCCATTCACATGCGTTGTGTGCCCATGCACATGCGTTGTGCGCCCATGCACATGCCGTTGTGTGCCCATGCACATGCGTTGTGTGCCCATGCACATGCGTTGTGTGCCCATGCACATGCGTTGGTGTGCCCATGCACATGCGTTGTGTGCCCATGCACATGCGTTGTGTGCCCATGCACATGCGTTGTGTGCCCATGCACATGCGTTGTGTGCCCATGCACATGCGTTGTGTGCCCATGGCACATGCGTTGTGTGCCCATGCACATGCGTTGTGTGCCCATGCACATGCATTGTGTGCCCATGCACATGCGTTGTGTGCCCATGCACATGCGTTGTGTGCCCATGCACATGCGTTGTGTGCCCATGCACATGCGTTGTGTGCTCATGGTTGTGTGCCCATGCACATGCGTTGTGTGCCCATGCACATGCGTTTGTGTGCCCATGCACATGCGTTGTGTGCCCATGCACATGCGTTGTGTGCCCATGCACATGCGTTGTGCGCCCATGCACATGCGTTGTGTGCTCATGCACATGCGTTGTGCGCCCATTCACATGCGTTGTGTGCCCATGCACATGCGTTGTGCGCCCATTCACATGCGTTGTGTGCCCATGCACATGCGTTGTGTGCCCATGCACATGCGTTGTGTGCCCATGCACATGCGTTGTGTGCCCATGCACATGCGTTGTGCGCCCATGCACATGCGTTGTGTGCTCATGCACATGCGTTGTGAGCCCATTCACATGCGTTGTGTGCCCATGCACATGCGTTGTGCGCCCATGCACATGCGTTGTGTGCCCATGCACATGCGTTGTGTGCCCATGCACATGCGTTGTGTGCCCATGCACATGCGTTGTGCGCCCATGCACATGCGTTGTGTGCTCATGCACATGCGTTGTGTGCCCATGCACATGCGTTGTGTGCCCATGCACATGCGTTGTGTGCCCATGCACATGCGTTGTGTGCCCATGCACATGCGTTGTGTGCCCATGCACATGCGTTGTGCGCCCATGCACATGCGTTGTGTGCCCATGCACATGCGTTGTGCGCCCATGCACATGCGTTGTGCGCTCATGCACATGCGTTGTGTGCTCATGCACATGCGTTGTGTGCCCATGCACATGCGTTGTGCGCCCATGCACATGCGTTGTGTGCCCATGCACATGCGTTGTGTGCCCATGCACATGCGTTGTGTGCCCATGCACATGCGTTGTGTGCCCATGCACATGCGTTGTGTGCCCATGCACATGCGTTGTGTGCCCATGCACATGCGTTGTGTGCCCATGCACATGCGTTGTGTGCCCATGCACATGCGTTGTGTGCCCATGCACATGCGTTGTGTGCCCATGCACATGCGTTGTGTGCCCATGCACATGCGTTGTGTGCCCATGCACATGCGTTGTGTGCCCATGCACATGCGTTGTGTGCCCATGCACATGCGTTGTGTGCCCATGCACATGCGTTGTGTGCCCATGCACATGCGTTGTGTGCCCATGCACATGCGTTGTGTGCCCATGCACATGCGTTGTGTGCCCATGCACATGCGTTGTGTGCCCATGCACATGCGTTGTGTGCCCATGCACATGCGTTGTGTGCCCATGCACATGCGTTGTGTGCCCATGCACATGCGTTGTGTGCCCATGCACATGCGTTGTGTGCCCATGCACATGCGTTGTGTGCCCATGCACATGCGTTGTGTGCCCATGCACATGCGTTGTGTGCCCATGCACATGCGTTGTGCGCCCATGCACATGCGTTGTGTGCTCATGCACATGCGTTGTGCGCCCATTCACATGCGTTGTGTGCCCATGCACATGCGTTGTGCGCCCATGCACATGCGTTGTGTGCCCATGCACATGCGTTGTGTGCCCATGCACATGCGTTGTGTGCCCATGCACATGCGTTGTGTGCCCATGCACATGCGTTGTGTGCCCATGCACATGCGTTGTGTGCCCATGCACATGCGTTGTGTGCCCATGCACATGCGTTGTGTGCCCATGCACATGCGTTGTGTGCCCATGCACATGCGTTGTGTGCCCATGCACATGCGTTGTGTGCCCATGCACATGCGTTGTGTGCCCATGCACATGCGTTGTGTGCCCATGCACATGCGTTGTGTGCCCATGCACATGCGTGTGTGCCCATGCACATGCGTTGTGTGCTCATGCACATGCGTTGTGTGCCCATGCACATGCGTTGTGTGCCCATGCACATGCGTTGTGTGCCCATGCACATGCGTTGTGTGCCCATGCACATGCGTTGTGTGCCCATGCACATGCGTTGTGCCGCCCATGCACATGCGTTGTGTGCTCATGCACATGCGTTGTGCGCCCATTCACATGCGTTGTGTGCCCATGCACATGCGTTGTGCGCCCATTCACATGCGTTGTGTGCCCATGCACATGCGTTGGTGCCCATGCACATGCGTGTGTGCCCATGCACATGCGTTGTGCGCCCCATGCACATGCGTTGTGTGCTCAGCACATGCGTTGTGAGCCCATTCACATGCGTGTGTGCCATGCACATGCGTTGTGCGCCCATGCACATGCGTTGTGTGCCCATTCACATCGTTGTGTGCCCATGCACATGCGTTGTGTGCCCATGCACATGCGTTGTGCGCCCATGCACATGCGTTGTGTGCTCATGCACATGCGTTGTGTGCCCATGCACATGCGTTGTGTGCCCATGCACATGCGTTGTGTGCCCATGCACATGCGTTGTGTGCCCATGCACAGCGTTGGTGTGCCATGCACATGCGTTGTGCGCCATGCACATGCGTTGTGTGCCCATGCACATGCGTTGTGCGCCCATGCACATGCGTTGTGCGCTCATGCACATGCGTTGTGTGCTCATGCACATGCGTTGTGTGCCCATGCACATGCGTTGTGCGCCCATGCACATGCGTTGTGTGCCCATGCACATGCGTTGTGTGCCCATGCACATGCGTTGTGTGCCCATGCACATGCGTTGTGTGCCCATGCACATGCGTTGTGTGCCCATGCACATGCGTTGTGTGCCCATGCACATGCGTTGTGTGCCCATGCACATGCGTTGTGTGCCATGCACATGCGTTGTGTGCCCATGCACATGCGTTGTGTGCCCATGCACATGCGTTGTGTGCCCATGCACATGCGTTGTGTGCCCATGCACATGCGTTGTGTGCCCATGCACATGCGTTGTGTGCCCATGCACATGCGTTGTGTGCCCATGCACATGCGTTGTGTGCCCATGCACATGCGTTGTGTGCCCATGCACATGCGTTGTGTGCCCATGCACATGCGTTGTGTGCCCATGCACATGCGTTGTGTGCCCATGCACATGCGTTGTGTGCCCATGCACATGCGTTGTGTGCCCATGCACATGCGTTGTGTGCCCATGCACATGCGTTGTGTGCCCATGCACATGCGTTGTGTGCCCATGCACATGCGTTGTGTGCCCATGCACATGCGTTGTGTGCCATGCACATGCGTTGTGTGCCCATGCACATGCGTTGTGTGCCCATGCACATGCGTTGTGTGCCCATGCACATGCGTTGTGTGCCCATGCACATGCGTTGTGTGCCCATGCACATGCGTTGTGTGCCCATGCACATGCGTTGTGTGCCCATGCACATGCGTTGTGTGCCCATGCACATGCGTTGTGTGCCATGCACATGCGTTGTGTGCCCATGCACATGCGTTGTGCGCCCATGCACATGCGTTGTGTCCCATGCACATGCGTTGTGTGCCCATGCACATGCGTTGTGTGCCCATGCACATGCGTTGTGTGCCCATGCACATGCG